ATATTTCTTAAAAGAATAATTCTATATTTAATTTCTTTTCTTTCTTTCTCTTTATTCTTTAATATTCTCATACATTTATATGTGCATGTAAATATGCTTATTCGTTGCTATTCTTTCTAAATGCAAATGTAAGAATGTAAGAATGCATTATGGCATATAAAGATATCATTATGGAACTAATATTCTCTACCAACAACATTTCCATACTTGAAATCAATCATAGATTATTAGACTAAAAATAAACTAATAAATTGGAAGCACTTTTGAGGTAATCATTCTGCATAGGTCATATTCAAGAAGGCATATCTCGAGCTATAAACATTGGATTGCTATGATATTGGTCTCATTTTAAAGATTAGAGAAAGGGCTACAACTTGTATGTTTAGGTCTCAACCCAATTCGATAGGTAAGATGCCCAAAAATAACTCAGAAAGCCACAGATTTGACAGGGCAACCATGGTAACATGCCTACTTTAAGGCTTTTCTATACCTATTTACCTCCACTTACTCCCTAACCTTTCCTAACCATTCTCCCCTGTGAAAACAGGTTAAAAGATCAATAATAACCTCCCTTATAATATGTTAAAACCCATGACACAACTAATTCCATTGATTGTCATCAAACTTCAATTCTTGCCTTTCTCTAGCCCTTTCTTCAATAGGGTTTAACCAACTCATGCATGTATTTTCTCTTAGGATTTTCATCAAACAATTCATATGTATATGCAAATACTATATGCAAATACTAAGTTGGCTACACTTCCACATCTTTCTCAAGCCACCAAAATAGGAGTAAAAACTCACTAAGGCCAACAACCTCCCTAGCTGAATTTCATCCACCACCACTCCACATCCATTCTTTCATATTTCATCCAAAATCCCATCAACTCAACACATACATATACATCACTTCTCATCACATACTAATAAATCAGTTCTCATCACATACTAATGAATCAATTCTCATCACATACTAATAAATCAATTCTCATCACATATTAATAATTCACTTCTGATCACATACTAATAAATTACTTCTCATGGCCAGGAAATTCACATATCAAACAACTTCAATTTTCAATCCATAATTCTCATCATCTAAACACACATGCAACACATAAAAATTTCTCTAATATTCATCCAATCAAAGCTAAAGTTGGATTTACTTACCTTATATTTGAGCAACATCAATACTATAATCTCCCTTTGATAGAATTCCCTTTCCACTTAAACCCTAAGCATATAAAACCATAAGAACTCAAAACTTTAAAATTTAATCTCACATCTTGGTGTAAGAATCTTACCTTTTGATCCTTAGGATTGAAAATCTATCAAAATGTAGCCAAAATCCTGTGAATTTCCTTGAAAATTTAGTAAAGAAATTTGAGAGAATTTGGGTAGAGAATGGCATGAGTGGAGGGGTAGAGTGGCTAGGGTTTCTCCTCTTGAACTCTTAATATCATAAAATAATATATATAGATTCCCATTTTATCCTTGCACTTTCCAAAAATTCCATCTATGTCCCTTAGTCAATTACAAAAATGCCCTCATTTTTATTAACTTCTCCATGTTATTCTACTTTTTTCACTTCCCACTTTTTCAACTAATTATGAGTGAAAAAACCATTTTACCCCTAATAACATTTTAAAGATTTTCCTTTACACTTGTTCAAGATAACTTTGACAAAATTTAACTAAGGGTATTAGGGCATAAATAGAACTACGTATCTTAATATGGGCATTACATAAACACTAGGTCTAAAGGGAAACGCACCAAACTCCATGCAAATTCAAACACAAGATATGCATAAAAAAACAAAAGATTAATTCTAATCATACTGGTAAAATTTTCACTACCCCTTGATGTTTAACATTGTGATGTTTAAACCCAACAAGTTCTAAACATTGTAGTTTAGTCCCCTATCGTTGGGCTTTACTTTATTGGGCCTCCATAATATTTATAATATGCAGCAACATATTATATAATTCTCTTGGCTCCATGTCGACGTGTGACAACACGAAAACAGTCCAAAATAAAGTCTTGCACCACTGCACAGGCCGTTCGTTAAGCGGTTTTACGCGCATCAATGCGTTCAGGCAGTAACGTTTAAAGACTTGTTGAACGTGCACTAGAAAGACTTTTAGATAATGGTGCAATTCATGAATTATTTGAGTCACTGAAGCATCCGATATGTTAAGTTGTCAAACGTGTAGCAAGATCACACACAACAACATGTAGAAACACTACTTGTTCTATAACTGATAGAAACCCGTTGCTACACTTGTCAAAAGACATACACAGACTTATTGATGCGATCCTCACAAGTGTCGAAACAAATGGAATTTCGTTTCTCTCCAAAATACGCTTTGTAGAGTGATCTGGAGTGATTTAACGAGGAGAACAGTGGGCTACCCAAAACGGATCTGTAGTGCGTAAAATGCCCAACAAATTGAGCAATTGTGTGAAAATAGTGCAAGTCAAGGCCATGCATGGAAGCACACGGCCAGTGCGATTTGGCCATGTGCGACAATGCAGGACCCATGGCAGCCACTGCACACGGTAGTGTTCAGCAAAGGAGCAGCAGCAGTTGGACGCAAAAACACGCAACTGATATATCAGTTGTTGTGTGCTGTTGCACACGGCCACTGGATGTTGTTTGCGGTGGCGTCGGCCAAGGTCGTGTGGGTGATCAGCAGCCACTGCCCCATCACGTGCAGCAGTGCGCGACTGCTGCGTGCAATAATGTGCAATAGTTGCTGTTGCACCTGTTGCCGCTATGTGCAGCCACGCATGACATCAGTGCACCACCACGTGTGGTGGTGCTCCTAGGATTCCAAAATATTTTATTTTTATATTTTAATTAAAAACAAAACATATCATATGCAGTTTTATCCGACACAACAAAACTCAAATTTTAATCCAATTAACCAACAAACTAATCAAATTAAAAACCCTAATCATGCAATTATCTAAGCACACAATTAAAACAAATATTAAATAACACAATCAGATATAAATGGCTTTGATACCAACGTTGGGTTCTAATCAAAATATATCCAATGGAATTTAAAATTTTATTCGATTACTAAACCCTAAACCCATTGATCCTTTTACCGATTACATTATTTAAGTGTTAAATTAATAGAATAAATCAGAGTTGATTTATTATACCTGCATTGGGCGGCTTCTTCTCTGGATTGATTGATTTCTCTTCACTCTAAGTATAGGAATGAACTTATGGTAATCCACATGAAGACAAGAATTTGCACAATTGATTCGCTAAAACAAATTGGGCGATTCAAGGGATATTTAGGGCTGAAATTTTTCAAAGAAAAATCACACTTGCACAATGGGGAAACGGCTAGGGTTTTGGAATTCACATAATAAAAGTAATTTCAGTGGTCTTTTTATAGTGCAACTAAAAACCCTATTCCTTCCTTTTAGGAATAGTTTCATTCTTATTCCTTAAATGGAATAGATATCTATTCCTAATTGGAATAGATTTTTCCTTATTCCCAAATGAGTAATAAAGGTATTTAATAATTATTATTTTTTATTAATTATCTAATATATATATTAATATTAACTCTAATAATAATTTATTTATAAATATATTTACTCTAATAAATATATAAATAAATAGGTAATCTTACAAATTAAATTCCAATTTAAAAATTGGACATGGGCAACAACCTTTCAGCAAATTTAATTACACTATAAGATTACCAAAATACCTTTCCATCATGAAACGACGAAACTGTCATTTTACTTGATCATCCTTAAATTTGCTTCCAAGTGTGTGACCCGTCGGCTCCTTATCATATTGGCAGTGGGTAAGATCGCGATTAACACCCTATTAGTCGTCTCATTACATGCAGATCAAGATTGACCTCTAGCAAGGCATCATAGTCACCCCATAGTTACGGATTTAGCAAAATAGCTACCTATCAACAGTATGGTTATAATGTAATTCAATCCCTTCATCATCTACTATCTCATCAAGGTTGAAAGCATAGAAATAGTGTCAGCTTCAAATATAAATTACCTTGACATATTCGTATTCGGTTATTGGACCAAGGACCAAAGGAAATTTGATTCGAGGAACAACTCAATTCCACTGTGGCCACAAATTTAAGGTTGTTGTCTTTACCAAATAAATCAGTGAGATAATTTTTCCTATACCCAGGAGTGATGAATCCGTTTTCGATCCATTATAGCCATAGTGTACTTCTCAATTTAGCCAACCACTACCATACTGATAACTGTAAATAGGATTACGTTAGGCTAATGTCAAATTACACCAATATTTACACACGACGCTCTGGTGATTTCAAGTCTAAGAATCACATGCACCACCATTCGTTAGAGGATGAATTCCATAGACACTAGGGTTACCATCTATATGGAATCCTCTATGGGCCTGTCCAATGAGCTTGTAAATAACAAGCACCCATCCGTCATAGCAAGTTATCACCAAACAACTTTGACATGTGAGATTTGTCACTACCTTTTGGTAAGGTCGTTCAATGCTATGATAGCCTTATCGTATTACTTGTGTCCTTGGTCAAGATAATACTGAGGCTATGGACAATTCTAGAATGGCCACTAAATGTGCTCATAGGGACCTCACAATCAAGATTTATAACACTCGATACCCTCGTAACAGTTCTACCATTCTAAAAACATATATCAATACATAGGGGTGAGCACGGGTAGCGGGTAGAACCGGAACCGGGGGTAAGAACCGGAACCGGAACCGGAACCTACCCAGAACCTGCACTGTGCGGGTAGGTTCCGGTTCCAATTTTTTGGAACCGCTACTGTGCGGTTCTGGTTCCGGTTCTTACCCCCGGAGGAACCGGAACCGGAACCGGAACCTGTAAAAAGGGTACCCTGTTTGGAACCTGTAGGGGGTACCCTGTTTGGAACCTGTTTNTGGTTATGGTAACAATTTTCTAAATGTTTCCTGCTTTCTTGTACACATCTGGTGTACCTGGGTTATGCACCATTGCCTCATTCTTTTATCAGCTCTAATATATGAAAGATTGGTTATCTCTTTGCAGCTATCAGAACTAGTCAACAATGAATACTATAGTGATTGGATACGATTAGTAGCTGAATTCACATTAAAGTCTCTGCAATCCTGGCAGGTCAAGTTGTGTCCCCTACTTTTCAGTAATTCTATGAATTGAATGCTATCTGAATATTACCTTTCTTTATGGATGAACCTCCTTTTGTCTGAATCTGATTAATTTAGCTCTGTCTTTACCAGTGGGCTGGCACAAGTGTCTACTACCTTCTTGGGCTTTGGTCCAGAATGGTAACATCTTTACGGTATTTGAAGAGTGAGTCACCCGACCTGTTGAATGATTACGTGCCCATGATTATAGAAGGTTTCATTTCTTCAAGATTTGAATCATTGCAGGTCAGATTGCATTTGTTGTATTTAAGCATGTTATGCATTAAGATTTCAATATTTTGAGTATCAATATGCTTGTCTGCCCTCATTTTTCTTCTGCAGTCTGAACTGTTGGATGAACTTTCTGAGAATCCACTTGACAATGTTGAACTTCTTCAAGATCAGCTTGATTTCTTTCCTCACCTCTGTGGATTTCAGGTTTATACTTTGACATGCTTCAACCAGGAATCATTTCTTAATTCTCCATGCCAGAAGCTTTAATATAACTGAATAAAGAATAAAACTATGAGTTTTTTTATCCTACAATTCATGTTTACCTACTAACTTTATTTAATTTCACTTTGTCTCTATGACGTTGATTGTTTCCTGGATTGCAGTATGAAAATTGTACTACATATATATTGAAGATTTTGGAGCCTATCTTGCGAATGTATATGGTATGAGTTGCTTTTCAATAATGCTTCAATTTTATTGAATATTTGACATACGTTAAATCCTCTATGAAATTTGATTTTGTGACTCATCTTAATTTACACAGGAAGGAGCAGGACTCCAAGTTTGCTCGGATAATAAGGAACTCTCAATCATTGAAGCCAAACTTGCTTGGATAGTGCATATTGTTGCTGCCATTCTTAAGATAAAGCATATTGGTGGCTTGAAGTAATTTTTTCTTTTTAGAAATTTGATGCTAGTGTTCATTTCAAGTAGGCAATCTTATTCTCAGCTAATTATGTTTGCTTGCCTCCTGCAGAAATGAATCGCAGGAAGTATTTGATGCAGAACTTTCAGCACGCGTTTTGCAGTTGATAAATGTCACTGACAGTGGATTACATAGTCAGGTATATCAACAAGGGTGAGCAAACATTGGTTTGCTTTGAACTGGAAAACTGATTACTCTCCACAAACCACACCAAAGCAACCATCAAGTGGTTTAGTTTGATGGTAGACTCACCTAATCAATTAAATTTATTTTTATATGTTATTAAAAAAAAAAAAAAAAATTAAAATAGGGAAGGGTTTGAAATTTCTGCTTTTTGCTTTTTCTTATACAAAAGCATAGCAGATCAGATGCTTGTGTAAAATTCTAAATGTCATAGTTTTATCTTTATTGCTGAAAGCTGTGCCTTGTTAGAAGTAATATTTCAAGGATAGTACTCTAAAGTTGAACCTAGATACCAGACAAAGTCTGCATTCAATGAAAAAGCACCTCACCATTACTTATTTAGGCCAAGTCAAATCTCCTCAAAACATATTGCAGCATACCAAGGAAGCTTTTGTAAGAAAATAATGACGATATTTTTCTTCTTTTTTTATTTTTAAAAATAACTTTTTGTTGCATGTTGGTGCCAGAGTGAATCTAATTCTTTTGTTTCAAAAGCCTTCTTGATTGATCATAACTGTCCACTTTATATGTGCTTCTGCGTTCTATTTCTGTATGTTCATATTTAAATAGAAGTTTCTACCTCAATGGGATGTATTGATACTGGCTTATTGTACACCTGGGATGAGGATTGTTAATCATTGTGCATTGCGTTGCTTTTCTACTCCCTAATTGATTGCCTTAATTATCACTTAACAACATTTCAACATTATTAGCTTCCAGTCTTCACACTTCTACTCAAAATGTAATGAATCCAACAGTGAACATATATAGTCCTGAGCAAGTATAAAATTTATATCAGGACGAATATTCATGATATAATTATATTAAGACCATGCTTAATCATCATTGGATCCTTATTTATGAAATATCATTTTAATCCAATGAGTGAATCCAACGATATACAAGCATAGTTTTGAAATAATTATTTTAGGACGGTCATGACTAGAGAATCATTATATATATGTATATATATTGAGCTATAGTTGTTGTGTTGTTGAGACAGCAAAATTCTATAGTTATTGCTGTATTGCTGTAGGACATGGGTCTGGACCCTGCAATTTTGGGTAATGTACCATGAATGTACAATATTAAAAGTGTCCTGCTAATACAGTTAGACCAATACTTCAAACCATTTTTCTTTCCTTTGAGAATATGCATTTTTGAACTAATTAAGACGGGATTCTTGATGCATTGCCAGATTGATTTAATCATTTACTCGTTCGTGTAAAGAGGTTAAAATTGACTTGAAAGCAATAGTGCCTATCTGGATCCTTTCCTTTTCCTCAGATTCTCACCAATAACTCCTATCAACTTAATTTGAAATTTGACAGAGATATGGTGAATTGAGCAAACAAAGACTTGATCTAGCAATTCTCACCTTCTTTGAACATTTTAGGAAGTCTTATGTTGGCGATCAGGCTGTGCATTCTGCGAAGGTACATGAATCTGTAGTTTAAACACATACCTTTGGTTTTCTTCCGCACTTTATACTTCTTCATGCATTTTGATGATATCTACTTTATTTTCAGATGTTATATTCTCGACTGTCAGAGCTTCTTGGAATCCATGATAATATGCTATTATTGAATGCTATTGTTAGAAAGATTGCAACTAATCTAAAGTCTTACAAAGAGGTGCATTGCATAACTTATTTACTTTCTCTTGTTCCTTGGATTCAGTTAATGCTAAAATTTTTGTTTATTGTAGAGTGAAGAGCTTATTAATCGTACCTTAAGTCTCTTCTTGGATATGGTATCTGGGTTAGTTCTATTCTTGCTGATGACTATATAAAAGTTCCTGTTATGTCTTGACTCAATCTCATTTTAGGATAATTATACTAAGATGCATTTTGTGCAGATATATGACTGGAAAGCTGCTTCTGAAGTTGGATAATATCAGAGTCTTAATATCTGACGTAAATACTGAGACATTTTTCTATTGAAGTTTTGATTCTGCTTTCATGTATTGGATATGTATAATGTTTGTTTGAGTGTATAACTACTTTTGGATTACTGGTACTCCGTTTTGTATTTCTTTTTAATCTTTTTATGTTTCTTGCATAAAAAAATAGTACTTTAATGTCTTGTCCTTTGTCTTTTCCAGAGAGAACACTTTCCTTTTTTAGAGGACCACAGATGTTCTCGTGGTAGAACAACCTTCTATTACACTGTTGGCTTGTTAATATTCATGGAGGATAGTTTTCTGAAATTCAAATCTTCAATGGATCATTTTCAGCAGGTGTGTTAGTTTTTTCTCTGTGACCTTGGTTCAAAATTTAAAAACTAATCTCCTTGCAAAGAATTTTATTTTACTTTGCATTCTACCCAAGATCCTATATGTATATCCAATATTAGAAGTGGAAGCTCTTTTTGTTTTGTCATTTTTCTCTACTACATTTTGCGGTAATTTGTGTATTGCATTAAAAGCATAATGCTACACGTCCTGAAATCAGGAGAAAACAAATCCTGATAATATTTTATTTCAATCATATCTAATTGTATTACAAACTCTCTATCTATATAATTGAACTAAGACCTAAGTAGATGACTCTTAGACTAGGATTAGGACTCTAGACTAATATTATCTCTTTTTACTTCAATCTCTTAAACTAGATAAGACTTAGATAACTCCTAAATTGATCATATTCTAATCTAGAAATCCTACACTCCCCCTCAAGCTGGTGAATAGATATTTATCATTCCCAGCTTGGAAACTAGATTATCAAACAATTGTCTAGGCAGTCCTTTGGTAAGAATATCTATTGTCTACTGACTTTTGGGCAAGTAGGTAACACACAACAGCTTATCTTCTATCTTCTCCTTGATGAAATGTTTATCTATTTCAACGTGCTTAGTCCTATCATGATGCACTGGCTTGTGTGCTATCCCAATCGCAGCCTTTTTGTCACAATACAACCTTATAGGCTACTCACTTTTGATTCCAAGCTCTCTCAAGAGTCTTCTTAGCCATATTAGTTCACAAAACCCATGAGCCATAGCACGAAACTCAGTCTTAGCACTACTTCTAGCTACCATGTTTAGCTTCTTACTTCTCCAGGTTACTAAATTTCCCCAAACAAAAGTGCAATAACCTGAGGTCAATCTTCTATCATCCACAGAACCAACCCAGCCTGTGTCCGTGAATGCTTCTACTTTCCTTTTATTCTTTTTTAGCAAAAAACATCCCCTTCCCAAGGGTCATTTTAAGGTACCTTAGAATCCTACTCACAGCCTCAAAATGCTTTTCCTGTGGGTTATGCATATGCTGACTCACTACCCTCACTGAAAAGATTATGTTAGGTCTAGTATGAGATAGGTATATTAACTTCCCAACTAGCCTTTGATACCTACCTTTATCAACCAGAGCATCACCACTCATTTTCTCAAATTTCAGATTTGGTTCAATGGGAGTCTCTGTTGGCTTGCAACCTAGCATATCTGTCTCCTTCGGTAAATCTAGCACATATTTTCTTCGTGAAACTGAATTCCCTTTTCACTCCTAGCAATCTCCATACCAAGAAAATACCTTAACTACCCCAAGTCTTTCAATTTAATATCTCGAGTTGATGTGGTGAGTGATATGATGATGCCACGTAGGATGACCCAGCACTTGAAATAATAAATTTGAATACTAGATGTGTAGCATCACTTAGATTGAAAAAGGAAAATTCCTTTGATTTTGAATGTCAAAAGGACAGTTTTTTGGCAATGTAATTGCATTGATTGTCATTATTTTAAATCTCTTTAAAATATTTATGAAGAGATTCTTAAGAGGAATGGGCTATTTTGATGTTGCTTCTTGGTTGTCTTATTGAGTGTAAACGTGTATACACATACAGATAATCAGACATTCTGATGGAGTCACTTGTATATACGTTTGATTACATAGTGTTGCTCTTTTAAACATTCTTCACATGTGCATGCTCATCTTTTATATTTCAAGTACTGTTTTGCACTTGTGTCATGCTAAAAGTCCGTACTCTTGCTTTGGTAGTGTATTAACGTGCATAAGATTGCCTTCTCTCTTCTCCATGAAGTCTAATTTAAAGTTGTTATGCCAAGGTTTTTGTCAGTTTGGAATCGACAACTGATGCAACGTTTCGCTCAGACACTGTAAAATATGCATTAATTGGGCTAGTGCGGGATCTTAGAGGAATAGCAATGGCCACAAATAGGTTGGCAATCCTGTGAATTTCTCCACTGTAAATTTTTTCCCAAGGCCATGCTAATTTTTCTGTTTAATCCTCTTTCAGCCGCAGAACGTATGGTTTCCTTTTTGATTGGCTATATCCAGCACATATGCTGCTTCTTTTGAAAACCATTACACATTGGACTGATACTCCTGAGGTAAGTTGCAACCTGCAATATCAATGGTTTTGCATGGTGTACATAGAAAAGCGAGCAACTCATCATCTTTTTTAAAAATAAGAGCTGCTCACTTGCTAAACTTCAGATGATTAGTTGCCATTTAAAAGGTTTTTTATCTGTAGTTATTTTTGTCTTGAGATAGTTCGGTATTTTCTTAATTGTGTTTGCTTGATAAAAAGAGAACATGATATCTTTGATGTGTTTGCCAAAATCAAAATATATCCTTTAACTTTGTGATACAAGTTTCTGGTCTTTTATCAGTGACTTTTATACAACTGAAAATGTAAAAGTCAAACCTTGTGTTTGTATACAAGACTCGTGGTTTAGCACATGCCATTAAATCAAATAGCAGCAAGTCACACTTTCTGTCAAGGAATGCAGGTGACTAAAAGAAGAGGGAAATAACTTATCTGCAAGTCACGCAATCTTTAACAGTCTGGATCATGTTTGTAGAATGTGTTGAGAATTTCCTGCTGACTTAATCCAGCTTGAAACATATTCTGACATCAAATATGATGTTGTAACCTTACCAATGTGTTAAGTTTATTATGTTGCGGTTTGATGCTTGCTTTTCTTATTTGATATAACCTTCTTGCAAGAAACTATATAACTATTACTTAGTTTTTTCTTTTAGTTACTTTTTCAAAAAACATTTTAATATCCTTACCTTGGGTTTTAGAATTTTAAAACTCTTATTTATGATGCTATTTAGTGATCTCCTCACCTGCAGACCTTATGTGGGAATGGAACACGTCCCTTTCTATGTTCAAAGGAACTTTTTCTGATACTAGAAAATGTCTCAGGTGACAACTCCGTTGTTGAAATTTGTGGCTGAGTTGGTACTGAACAAATCTCAACGATTGAATTTTGAGTCATCCTCTCCTAATGGTTTACTTCTCTTCCGAGAGATCAGTAAACTGATTGTTGCTTATGGGTCACGGATTTTGTCCCTTCCCAATCAAGCAGATATGTATAACTTCAAATACAAGGGAATATGGATATGTTTGACCATTCTTACTAGAGGTATGCATTTTCTTTCTAAACTTTTGTTGGGTGGTTCGTCTTAATTGTTTAAATTAAATAGTATCATTTGGTTAATAATATTTATTATGTCATATATATTTGGTCATCTACCAATGCTAATGGAAAATGATGGTATCTCAAAATCTCTTCATCCTCAATTTTATTCACATCTATGTTGTTTTTGTTAGTAACAGATTCACCAAACTTGGTTGCACAGTTTTTGCCTTCTTAAGAGTTACTTTGTTTTGCTACTGCAGAAATCTGGTCCTTTTTTTTAACTCTTTTTCTTATCAAGCACCTATCTTTTTGTTTCCTATAAAAAAAAAAAAAAAAGGGTAATTTAGTCTGAGAGACCATATTTCATATAATATGTTGTCTTCTGTTTTTGACCATTGGAATAGTCTAAGGGTCAGAAATGGTTGCAAGGAGGATTAGTTTCTATTTCTCTAATAATAAATAAATAAATTTTAACACCAATCTTCTTTTACTTCTATATTCTCTCAGTTAAAAGAATGGATTAAACCTATGAAGCTATTTTCTTCTTCGTAGATCCTCTTAAGTGTACCATAATTTTTTTTCAAATTGCATGTCATATATACTGAATTTTAAAAACTGAAATGAAATTTTGTTTATTTACTGTTAGAAATTTAATAATCATTATTTATAGGTTGTTCAAGCATATTTGAGCAAAGTTTGTTAAATTTTTATATTCTAACTATTCCTGCTAGATGCAGAATGTTAGAAATCATTATTTTCATTGTTTAAGAAAGTCTTTTCTTTTATAATAATAATAATTATTTATTATATATGTGTGATTCAATTTTATTTTTTTCTTCATTGTTTTGTTAAAGTTCCAAGTATTTTTGATGAATTGTGAAACTCTCATAAATGGATAAAGTACGTTGGATACAGGAAATCTAAAATAATTAGATATGTTCGATGATATATATATATATATATATATATATATATGAAAACTGGTTCTATTTTTTTCTTTCACAGAAAGTCACCATGTGCTGGCTGTTTTTCATGTGGTTTTTTTTTCTTCCTTTTGTCATGACAGCTCTGTCTGGAAGCTATGTCAACTTTGGTGTGTTTGAGCTTTATGGTGATAGGTCACTCACTGATTCTCTTGATGTTGCTTTAAAGATTACATTATCAATTCCCTTGGCTGATATTTTGGCCTTCCGGAAGGTACAACTTTTTTCATTGAGTTTATGCATATTGCTGTAAACCTGTTTTTGCCAGTCATATTCATACAATGTATAATATCCTTGCTTTGTTAATATGCATAACCTCTGCTCCATGTACCCAGCTTATTTCGTCTGTACCATCTGCTATATTTACCTTGCGTAAGCTCTGTTAGACCCCTATACGTAAGGTCTATGAATCCAAGGGTAGGGGAAGGAAAAGGGGCAAGGGTACAATAAGTGAGAGTCCAGTAGAGGATGTTGACGTGTGCAAGGAGGGGGATTAGGCAAGGGAAATTTGTTGTGAAAAGGGACACGTACAGGGGAAGTTTGTTATGGAAAAGGACACCTAGCTGACAGTTTGTTGAAGAATTGACTATTTAAGAAGATGAAAGTAAGGGGGGAGGTTATCTGGAAAATTAATCATTGGCTGGTTTAGGAGGTCCCCAGCTCCTCGAATTGCTGGGAATCTGTTTGTTACTTCTTTTTCTTGTTGATTGTGCTGGTTATTCTATCTTAGTTTCCATTAATATAAACTTCCATTTCTTCACTTGTGCATATCCTGTGTTTGTGTGCTGTGTGTGCGTTGCTGTGGTTCTTATTTACAGGGAGTTCCATCAGATTGGTATCAAAGCCAAGTTGCCATCACATTTAGCACTGGGGAATGGTCAAATAAAAAATGGATAATAGGATGGATAATATGGAAAAGGAGATGAAATCAGTTCAAGAAGATATGAGTTCATTCAAAATTGATGTGGGGAGTCTTAAGGAATACTTGACCGAGATGAGAGAATTGTTGAGGTTGAGAGAAGAGAGGGAGGAGAAACGTTATCAGGAAAAAGAGAAGCACCAGTCATCGTCCGGAAATGCAGATTCAGGTGATGGTGGTGAACACGAACAAGACACAGTAGGGGACAGTGGAAAAGGGGAAAGGAAAACCAGGAAGCTGGAGCTTCCAATCTTCAGTGGGGAGGACCCTTTTGGATGGACTTTTCGCGTCGACCGATGCTTCGCTATCAACAAATATGGACCATCGGAGATGGTGGAGGCAGCGGCTGTTTGCATGGAGGGCAGGGTGCTAAACTGGTACCAGTGGGTAGAAGGACGAGATCCTTTCAAGACATGGGAAGAGCTCAAGGCTGCTCTAATTGCAAGATTCAGACCGTCGTTCCAAGGGTCTGCAGACGAGGCTCTAGTGGCGTTGAAACAAAGCTCCACCGTGACTGAATACAGGTAAGATTTCGAAGCCCTTACAGCTCCGTTGAAGGATTTGGGAGAAGAATTGTTAATGGGGGTTTTCATAAATGGGCTTAGGGAAGAAATTAGAGCTGAGTTGAGAGTGTTGAGGCCTAATTCACTTCAAGAAGTCATTGAACAGGCCCATCGGGTGGAAGAAAAAAATTGGGTAATGGAAAAATGGAGGCCCGAAACGTTTAGGGCCCAAGTCACCAGGGAAAATTATTCAAGGGTGTCCAACAGCCTAGACCCAACTCGTCAGACAGGGTGGCCCAACCCACTCAAGCTAGTATCTCAATCGGATCCGACCCGACCCGACCTGTCTGGTGACCCAACGCATCAAAACCACCTGAAACAAATCAGATCGCGTCATCTCTTGATTCTCGTGCACCCGATAGACGCGAAAGAGCTCCAGAAATAGGAACGACGAACTTCCGAGTAGGATCAGGCGGTGGTTTTCGGTGGCTGACTGAGGCCGAGCTCCAGAGTAAACGTGAAAAGGGCCTTTGCTTTAAATGCGACGAAAAATTCGGCCCTAATGACCGCTGTCGAAGTAAGTCCCTACAGATCCTATTAGCTTTGGAAGATGACAGTGATGAGAAAGTTGAAAACCCACCGGAAAACGATGATATTCCTAGCCCAGATGGTGACGATGAAGCGTTGTCTATGAACTCCATCGTGGGCATCACATCAGATCACACCTTGAAAGTCAAAGGGCAGATTGGTAAGAGTGAGGTTGTGGTGTTGGTTGACAGTGGGGCGTCCCACAACTTTATTTCACAGGATCTGGTAGAGAGGTTGGGGCTTACAGTGGAAAAAGGGAAGCGATTTGGGGTGATGATAGGGAATGGTAACAGTAAAAGGGGAAGGGGTGTGTCGACAGATCCATCTGAACGTGCAAGGAGTCTAGATTAGACAGGATTTCTTTCCATTCCAGTTGGGGGATGCCGATGTGATTTTGGGTATTACGTGGTTGAGTTCCTTAGGGGACGTGTGCGCCAATTGGAAGAATTTGACTATGAGGTTTGAAGTGGAAGGGGTTAGGGCCAGTTTGCAAGGGGAACCGTCTCTGGTAAAGTCCGGTGTATCCCTGAAGTCGATGTTACGTTCCATCAACAGTACCGGAGGAGGGATTCCGGTAGAATGTTGTACAATCGAAGAAAAGCCAAGCCACATAGACTGTTACAAACAGAGAACTGATTGTAATTTTCTTATGTATTGCATTGACAAATTATACATCAATATATAGGAAAATAAAGAACTAATCTAGGAAATCAAGAATCTAATCTAGGAAATAAAAAATCTAACTTCCTATTTTACAGATTTGTTCCTATTATGTATTGATTACAATCCTAATATCCTATTATAGATTTATTCACTTAATCATGCAATATCTGTAAGATTTTGCATGATTATCTACAACAATCTACAACATAGACGAAGACATCAACCTGCAAGTTCAGGCAGTTTTGGATGAGTATCGGCATCTCTTCGACCAACCCTCTAAACTTCCTCCACACCGTCCCCATGACCATGCCATAAACCTTAAGGAAGGAGCCCAAACACCCAACATTAGACCATATAGGTACCCATATTTCCAGAAAAACGAAATTGAAAAATTAGTTGAGGAAATGTTAGCAGCCCGTATCATCCAAGCGAGTACCAGTCCGTTTGCCAGCCCGGTGTTGTTAGTCAAGAAAAAAGATGGAAGCTGAAGGTTTTGTGTGGATTACAGGGCCCTCAACGAGATAATAGTCCCTGACAAGTTTCCCATTCCAACCATTGAGGAACTGTTGGACGAACTAGCCGGTGCAACAATCTTCTCTGAACTGGATCTCCGATCCGGATACCATCAAATTAGGATCAAGGACGAAGACATCCCCAAAACAGCTTTCCGAACTCATGAGGGCCATTACGAGTTCTTGGTGATGCCCTTCGGGTTGACCAACGCTCTTTCAACATTTCAGTCACTTATGAACAGCATTTTCAGACAGGTTTTGCGTAAGTTCGTATTCGTTTTCTTTGATGATATCCCGATATACAGTAGTGACTTGGAAGCCCACCTTCAACACCTTCGACAAGTCCTTCAAATCTTGGGTGACAATGACCTGGTGGTAAATTGAAAAAAATGCTCATTCGGACAGCCTAGACTGGAATACCTGGGGCACCTAATTTCAGCACACGAGGTGGAGGCCGACCCACAAAAAATTGCAGCCATGGTTTCCTGGCCTGCACCCACCAATGTTAAAAGTCTCCGCGACTTCTTGGGATTAACGGGGTATTATCGCAGGTTTGTTAAAGGATATGGCAGCATAGCCCAACCACTCACATGGCTCTTGAAGAAAAACTGTTTTAATTGGGATCAAGAGGCGCAGTAGGCTTTTCACGCCTTACAGAAGGCTATGACCTCAGTTCCAGTGTTAGCAGCCCCAGATTTCAGCCTTCCATTCGAGATCCAGACGGATGCTTCAGGCCAAGGTATGGGAGCTGTGCTGGTGCAACACAAACGACCCATAGCGTACCTAAGTAAAGCATTTTCCCCTCAAGCTAAACAAAAATCAGTTTATGAAGGAGAACTTATGGCTGTTGTTTTCGCTGTGCACAAATGGAGTCCGTATCTATTGGGCAGAAAGTTTATCATTCGAACGGACCAGCGAAGCCTTCAATTCCTCAAGGATCAGCGGATTAAAACACCTGAACAGCAGAAATGGTTGTCCAAGTTGATGGGGTGTTCCTTTGACATTCAGTATTTGCCGGGCACCACAAATAAGGTCGCGGATGCACTATCTAGGCGAGACGAGAACCCAGAATTATCGTCCTTATCAAAAATTCAGTTTTTAGAGTATGAGGACTTAGCCAACAAAGCCCACCAGGACCCCAAGCTACGGCAGTTGATTCAAGCGTTGGTTTTGGACTCTGACAGCCGACCACATTATAAACTTCACCATGGGTGTCTCATGTACAAAGACAGGTTAGTGTTACTTAGAGGTTCTCGATTTGTTCAGAAGCTACTGACTGAATTCCATTCCAGTCCGTCAGGAGGCCATTCAGGGTTTTTTCGGACATACAAAAGGGTGTCCAATGTGGCTTATTGGGCAAGTATGAAGACGGATGTCCAGGACTTTGTCAAAAAATGCACCATCTGCCAGGTTAATAAACACTCAGCTTTGAAGCCTGCAGGGCTACTTCAGCCACTTCCGATTCCCGCTCAGGCATTTGATGATTTGACAATGGATTTCATCGGAGGCCTCCCAAGAACGAAAGGGTTTGACACCATACTGGTTGTAGTGGACCGCTTGACTAAATACAACCATTTCCTACTTCTGTCACACCCTTACATAGCCAAGGTGGTAGCCTTAGTTTTCATCAAGGAAATAGTAAAGCTTCACAGGTTCCCTCAAACCATCATCTCAGACAGAGGGACAGATTGTTTATGAGTCAATTTTGGCAAGAAATTTTCAAAATCTCAGGTACAACTCTGAAATTCAGCTCGGCTTACCATCCTCAAACGGATGGCCAAAGCGAAGTGGTGAACCGGTGTTTAGAGACTTACCTCCGCTGTTTCTGCAACTCACAGCCCCGTCAATGGCCCAATTGGTTATCATGGGCTGAATTTTGGTACAATATGACGTACCATCGATCCACTAAGATGACGCCCTTTAAAGCATTGTACGGCTGAGACCCTCCGACTCTCCTTTAACTCATCGATCACCCCTCTGCGGTCGAGGAAGTAAACCAGCAGATCAAAGAACGCAATGCCCTTCTTCAAGACCTTAAACATAACCTGGAAGTCGCACAAGCTCATATGAAAANCATAAGATAAAAGTTACAAGAAAGGTTTCAGATTTGATCATGTGTGGCCTATACTTAAGGATATTGAAAAATTTATAGATAATGTTAACGCCTTAGAAATATTTCAAAGGCAAACCGGTAGGTTTGTATCACAAGAATCAGAGACTCCCACTTCAAAGTCTCCCCAATCGGTGTCTTGTGATATGTTGTCATATTCTCTAAACATAAATGATGAAGATATTAGGGGTAGTTCAGCTCA